TGATTCAAAGATGTACTTCAAAGATTAAATCTGAACCTACCCACTTACTTCCCCATTTTAGACTCAATAAATCAGATAACGTTTCACGATCAAAATGTGTAATAAATTTAGTCATTTTTGAACAGGAAAGTGATGAGATAAAGATAATTATAAAGATAAAGATAATTGCATTTTATCATAGAACAGGTAAGTAACTTTGGCACAATCACCTCCCACTTTTTGTTCACTGTCAAATAATTTAGCTCCACTCGAAGAAGTGTCCCATGAGTTCCTCTGAAAATGTGGCCTGGCTGCATATTATTTTTAGCTGTGACCCCTCTGTAGTTGGTGGCCACCAGAAAGTTGCTGGGGGAGGGGGATCACATTGACAAATTGCGATGTTTAGGTAGTCATTTTCACAGAGCGAGGAAAGAAGCATTGGCCATCAGGACAATCTTACCAATGGTGTTGAGGTCACTTTGAACCAGCAGGCAGGTGAGCAAAGATCATCAGAAAATCTCACATCGCAGCAGTTCCTCCTCCCAGGCAGGCGTGGGATATGAGTGCGATAGACGGTAGCTAATTTATCAGTGCCCACGCACAGGAACAGACCTGTGACATTGCAGGAACGTGGGTCTCCAGCTGAGGGTGAAGCCTGGCAGGTGCCTCAAGGTGGGGGCATGGGGTGACAGCGCAGTGGGTGGGGTGGAGTCCGTGGATTGTTTGGGGTGCTGTTCAGCCAAAACACTCCCCTATCCGAGTGCCTAAGGACCACAACTGTGGCTGCAGGCCAATACGTGGAATGGTTCCTATTCCACGATAGCACTTTTAGTCACATTTAGTCAGGCCAATTTCAGAGAAGACCCTTAGCCAGGAGCACACCTACTGGCCCTCCCTCATGCTGTCCTTCAAGAGTCAGTCTGTGAATTGCCCTCCTCCACCGGCCCACCACTGCTGGGAACATCACAAAGACAGCTGGATCTCAGAAAGTACTGGATTTAGGGCCTGGAAAATAAGTCCTGTAAATGGTCCTGTTCTGCCCTTAAAAATACTTAAGAGAATCACACACTTGTTATAGCATGGAAGGAGCACATTCGACCTAATGTACTCTCATTGACTCTTCAAACAAGTATCATTATCCAGTGCTAATCTCTTACTTTCTCCTCTCTGTACCCTTGTAGAGTATTTCTGTAGTGACTGTAATGAGGTCAGCCAGGTGGACCCCATACAAAATGAGTTCCCTGATTGGGGCTGTTAATCTGGTCCAATCAGGGAGCCCTGGCTGACAGATATAAACAGGAGTGTCAGAGGTTCTATCCACTATGAGGGCTCAGTGTCAAGGATTCTCCACATGTAAATAAAGGGTGGCTTGGTGATGGCTTACTGGCCTCTATGGAGTTATTTCAATTTCCATCCAAATAACCATCCAATGCCCACTTGAATGCCTCACTGAAACTGCCTCCACCACATTTCCAGACAGCGTATTCCACACCCTAACTACTCACTCAGTGAAAACGTTTTCTTCTCACATCACCGTTGGTTTTTTTTTGCCCAACACTATGCCCTCTCATTTTACGAATAGAAACAGTTTCTCTGCATTGGCTCTTTCCAGCCTGCTCATGGTTTTGAAAGCCTCAATCAAATCTCCTCTCAGCCTTCTTCTCTCCAAAGAAAACAGTCCTAACAACTTCAATCTATCGCTGAAGTTTCTTAATTCTGAAATCATTCTTGTAAAAACATAAAGACACCAAAATGCCACCCTCAAAGAGCACTACCTGCCAACGACTATTTGGAAGGAGGACCCACAGGATGGCGTTCTAAGCACTAACGAGGAACCAGTTAGAAAATACTGAAGAGAATCACACACTTATTATAGCGTAGAAGGAGCACATTTGATCCAAAGTCCCAGCAACCTGAATGCTCTTCCTCTGTTGTGCAGGGATACAGATTAGAGGGAGAACACAAAAATTATACACACTTCATCAAGATTTTCTGTTTATTTACCCAAGTAAACCTATATCTCTGAGGGTCAAGTAAATTGAACTCCCTGGCTCAGTAGGCAGCGGGTACAGAGTAATTGAATATTTTGAAGGTGGAGGAGGATAGATTCTCGTTTGGCAGGAGAATAAAGGGGATGAGTATCCGGAACTCGGAACACAAACTGATCAACAGATCTCGATTCAATGAGATTCAATGAGATCACGGCTGATCCGATAATCCTGAACTTCACTTCTTGCCTTTTCTCTAATACCCCTCATTCCCTTAGCGATTAAAAATCTGTCTATCTCAACCTTGAATTTCCTTAATGACTCAGTTCGACAGCCTTCTGCGGTAAAGAATTCCACAGATTCATTACCCACAGAGAAGAAATTTCTCCTTACCTCTGCTTTAAATATGCAGCCCCTTATTCTTAGATTATGCCCTTTGGTCCTAGACTCTCTCTCACAGGGAAATAACCTCTCCATATCCGCCTTGTCAAGTCCCGTAATAACCTTGTATGTTTGAATAAGATCTTTTCTCACTTTTCTAAACTCCAGTGAGTACAGCCCAACTTTCTCAACCTCTCCTTGTAAGAAAAATCCTCTATACCCATGATTGATATTTGACCTCAACACTTGATCCATTTTTAAAATCTTTCATAATTTGCCTCATCTTTCATTGTGACAAATATTAAATAATCTTAATTTGAATGATCTACATTTATTATACAAAGCTGCATCATGACCTAAGGTTACAGTGAAAACATGAGAGTGTGTAGCAATGACTTTGCTTTTGAAGAGAGGTCACACGTACCACCAGTTAGAGTGTTGGTATTTCACTGTGTAATGTTGTGGTGTGTTAACCACCAACAAATGCATTGGCCTGTGTTTCAAAAATAACAATTCAGCACACTCTCTCCTAGACTCACATTTTTTTCCAGGACTTCAGACTTGCTCCAATAGACTTTGAAAGCCATAAATCAACGTTAACTAATTGTCTGTTAGTGATTTATTTAGTCTTCACAACTACTATTTGCAACCTTGTCATTGTAGTACAATATGGGCTTTGGCCCTTAACCTTGTAGCATCAAATAAATAAGCACATTCCCAATTTATCACTGTCATCAATGGAAGACATAAAGCAGAGGCCAAATAATCCCCATAAAGGAGGAAGGAAAAGCCAAGAGGTCATGTCATCCTCGTTAGCTTACTGGCACTTCCTAGCAGTCGATTAGTCAAACTGAGATGGTATTTGGAATATGTCATGTGTGGGCTAATCCTGTAAGTGTTGTAATTTATTTGTAAGAGAATTATTTGAGAGAGAAGAATAGTGTTGCTATTTGAAAATGTTAGGTTGCATTTTCTACAAAATCTGTAAAATTATTCACTGAAAAGGGTCTTATAATAAATTGGAAAGCAGTTTCTAAAGAGGTTAAGTGTGGATAACTGTCATGCATTCGAAACAACTACTTTTTTTGAAGAGGCATATTTCCTGTGTGCTTAGTAACCAATCCTTACTGTATTCTGCAATATCCTTACAAGCACTGGTTTTATTTTGTCAGAAATAATAGCTGGATTAATATATTACTCAATCAATAATTAACAATATCATTACAAAGTCACCTTAACCATAAACCTGAATGTGAAAGAGTAACCAGACATTGCCCTGAGAGAAACATTCCTCTACTCACTGTTAACACCTGAATTTATGAGCTCTCTCTGATTGATTTGTGGGCTGTGGGCATCATTGGCTAGGGGAGCATTTATTGTTAAGAGTTAATTGCTAAAAGTTAACCATAATGCTGTGGGCCTGGAGTCACACGTAGTCCAGACCAGGTAAGGATGGCAGATTTCCTTCCCTACAGGACATTAGTGAACCAGATGTGTTTTGTTTTTACAATTGACAGTGGTTACATGGTCACCATTAATTGAGTTTTTAATTCTAGATTGTATTTACTGAATATAAATTTCACAATCTGCCATGGTGGGATTCAAACCCACAACCCTTGAATATTAAACTGGGATGCTGGATTACTAGCCCAGCGACATCTCTGCTACACCATCACCTCCATTTGAGCACAGCAACAGGAACATACAAACTAGGAGTAGGCTACTTAGCTCTTCCAGCCCACTTCACCATTCAATAAATTCATGACTGATTGGATCACTGCACTTAAATGGGCAACATCTTATTTTAAAATAGTAGCCCTAGTAGTTCTAGATTCTCCAACATGAGGAAACATTCTTTCCTCATCTACTCTGTCAAGACCCCTGAAAATATTTCAAGTTGAATCAATCGGTCAAGTTTCAATCAATCAATACTATTCTAAACTCCAGTGGATGCAATGCTAGCCTGTTCTGACTTTCGCTCACAAGACAACCACTCATTCAAGGTATTAGATTTATGAAGGAGCAAATTACTGCAGATGCTGGATTCTGTACTGAAAACAAAAAATGCTGGAAATCACAGCAGGTCTGGCAGCATCCGTGGAGAGAGAGCAAACCCTCATTCTGAATCTAGATGACTCTTCACCTTTAGATTTATGAAACTTCTCTGAACCGCCCCTAATTCTTTACATTCTTCTTTATATAAGGAGACTGACATTGTACACAGTGGTCCAGTTGTGGCTGCATCAATCCCCTATATAACTGAAGATAGCCTCCCTACTTCGGTATTCAATTCCCCTGACAACAAATTCAGAATTCTATTAACCTTCCAAATTACTTGCTGTACCTGCATACCAACCTTCTGCAATTCCTGCACAAGTGCACTGAGATCCTCTCTGCATCTCAGATCTCCATGATATTTTGCCATTAATATATGCTTTAGTTTGTATTTGTCCCATCAAAGTGGAAAATTTCACATATTCCCACTCTATATTCCATTTGCCAGCTTATATCTTTCTGCTTGCCGGAGAGATGTGCAACAGCAAAAGCAAGTTTTCAACAAACTAAGTAAATCAATTCTCCTGAGCACCATAATACACCTTCAGTGGTTGCTGTTTTAAGTCTCCACACCCTGTTCCCCTAGATGTTACTTACATTAGCAGTGAGCTGCGTCGTAAGGGCTGCCACTTTCTCCTGGGAAACATCGAGCTCCCGCCGAAGTTTGCGGATCTGCAGGCCAGAACACTGCAAAAGTTAAACCTCATCATCTCCATTTGATTCTGATCGGAAAAGTCAAGCCACTTTCAAGAAAATTACCTACCACTTTTCTGACACAGTCTGATACCTCACAAACAGGTTATGCATATCATCCAGTGGTTTTCATTTCAGGAGAATCTACACTTTTGTACACCGTATAGTCTTTATATTGCTGTATCACATAAAAAACTAATTCTCTTCTAAACTGACTTCGAACTCTGCTTCAACCACAGCAGAGAACTGTACTTTCTAAACATCTTACTTATAAAAAGTTATTTTTCTAACCTCATCCTTAATTCTTCTTTGACAGTAATCAGCTGTGGAGACTCTTCTGAAAGTGAGCTGCCAAAATGATATGATGCTATTACTATGCCCTGATTTTGCATAAGGAACTAGCTAATCTTATTATTGCATGATAACAAGGCGTAGAGCTGGATGAACACAGCAGGCCAGGCAGCATCAGAGGAGCAGGAAAGCTGACGTTTTGGGTCTGGACCCTTCTTCAGAAAATTTATGATTGCATGTTTTATGTAATATACGATATAGATTTGTTTGCTTTTTTTAAAGTCTGTATTTACATCCTATCACCTTTCAAAGTTTATGTATGTATGCATCATGATCCATTTATAATCCTACTCTATAAGATGAATTTCCTTTTGGTGACTTACTTTCAGACACAGAGCTTCATATTGCTCTACACAGCACCGCATTCGTAGCTTTCTGGCCTGTCTTTTCCTTGTGTGGTGTTTGAAAATGTCTGGGACATTATGGTGTACTGTCCCTTTCTTGCCCCCTCCCCAAATACACTCCCATTCTAGTTTGGTGCTGCTATAGTTTGACATAAAATCCTCACACTGTTTCCTTAACTCTCAAAGTCAGATCGTTTGTAATGATAAATAGTTTCCTTCAGCACGCCGTGTGGGACATCACACCTAACTGCAATCGGAGAAATTTTCTCCCCCCACATCTCACCAACCCGAGCCTTTTACTATTTGTTCTCCACTTCTTCATTTGTGTAGCCACACGTGCCTTTAATTCTAAGTAACATAAGTGAATGGTTCCTTAACAAATAAATTTTGAAAATCCAGATTAATATTTACTATATTTCCTTTGCTGCTCTTATTTTGTAAAATGAATTTGACAAGTATCATGTGAATAATTATTTGGTGCAACTCACTGAGCATTCTTGAAAAAATACACTTTTTTTAGCATTTTACACTGCAAACATCAGGACATTTTGCAAGAATACCAACTAAAGGACAAAACCAACATCCATACTGCATGAGACAACAGTGCTGATTGATTGGTTACTGGACACTGATTGGTAGAGGTGTTGCCATGAAGAGTAATATTAATATTGATCGACAGTTAACTGCCAGGCTTTGTTTATTAAATTTTAAACCAGACAGGATTTTTTTTTCACTTCTCTTGGCTTTCTCCTCATGGCAACATCAGTAGCAACATGAAATTGCAAGATTCACCTCAATCGGTATTCATGTGAAATGTTCCGATGAGTGACAAAAGGTTGCAACAAAACATATCAATTTTCATTAAAACTCAAATATCTTATTACAATTGTGTGCACTAACCCATCCTTCTGCTACTGCTTTGCAATTCCATTCCGTACCATGAACCTTAACGAGCGATTTCAAGTATTTGAATCATGATTTTAAAGTACACTTACCTCTGACTGTGATTTTTCTTCAGGCTGAAACAAGGAAAAAAAGTTTTTTTTTTAAAACGCAGTGTATATAAAAAGGTTGTAAAGTAAAACTAAATATAATATTATTGCAAAATATTTAAATGCAAGAAAAGTCTCTCTCTGCATTGATTATTGCACCATTTTAAAGTGAAGGGCAGGAGGTTTACACGGAATTTAAGGAAAATATTTTTCACCCAGAGTGAGCTGGGAATCTGTCTGGGAGGGTGGTAGAGTCAGGAAAACTCGCAAAAAATATGTGAACGAGCATTTGAAATTTCATAACATTCAAGACAATGGTCAAAGAGCTGAAAGTGAGATTAGTGTAAATGGGTTGGCACAGACTTGATGGCAGAAACACTTCTTCTGTACTATATGACTCTATGACTATGATTACTTAGTAATTAATTGCTCTTACAATTTTAACAATGACCTTAATGGCTTTTATAATTTAATGTCCCCTTAGGCTTCATCATTGAGAAATGGCGACAATTTTAGATATATCGGCAAGATTTCAGCATCTCACTCAAGTTTCCAAACTTGCTGCATGGAATCTGAACTGTGAATGTTGATGCTTATTCAACTGTAGTGGGCTGCAACCAATTTCAGCCAAGCCTGCCTGCACTCTACACCCACTTTCACACACACTTTCAGCTGGAAGTCACTAGATGGTGATCAGAAAGAGGAATTCTGCCCAATGTTTCTTCACCCTTGGGCATGGTGCTGCAATCCTAACTTCAAGGCATGTTTAGCAAGACATTAAAAGAGAAAATTGTGTTGGAAACAATTTTCGCAGTAAAACTATGAGCTGCACTCTCTTTTGCAGAAAACAAATAAATATACCAATAGCACAATGCATCCTTTACAAATTCAGAAACGTGTACGATTTTAAGCTGACAAAAATCTGCCGTATTTGGAAAATGGTGCAAGATGACTTCATATGTAGCCCTTATAAATGATCCCATTAAATTCCTTACCACAGTTGATACCATGACTTCAGGCATGAGGAGAGGTTATACAAATTAGGTCTGTCTTTTCTACAAATTAGAAGGTTAAGGAGTGATATAATCAAAGTTTTCAAGGAAAAGACAGGGTAGATAAAGATAAAATATTTCCACTGGTTGGGGATTCTAGAACTATGAGGCATAGTCTGTGAATTAGGGTTAGATTGTTCAGGAGAGATGTTAAGTAGCACTCTACACACAAAGGGTGGTAGAGGTTTGGAATTCTCTTCCATAAATGGCAATGGGTGCTGGATCAGTTGTTAATTTTAAATCTGAGATAGATTTTTTTTTTGTTAAGCAAAAGTATTAAAGGGAAATGGGCCCAAGGCAGGTATTTGAAGTTAAACCACAGATCAGCCACAATCTCACTGAATGGTGGAACAGGTTCAAGGAGCTGAATGGTCTACTCCTGTTCCCACGTTCCATAATAATGTGCAATTTCGAATGGAACCCAGAAGTCACACAATGTATTCCGAGACAACAAGGTGCAGGGCTGGATGAACACAGCAGGCCAAGCAGCATCATAGGAGCAGAGAGGCTGATGTTTCGGGCCTAGACCCTTCATCAGAAAAGGGGGAGGGGAAGGGGGTTTTGAAATAAATAGGGAGAGAGTGGGAGGCGGATAGAAGAGGGATAGAGGAGAGGATAGGTGGAGAGGAAACAAACAGGTCGAAGAGGTGGGGATGGAGCCAGTAAAGATGAGTGTAGGTAGGGAGTTAGGAAGGGGATAGGTCAGTCCAGGGAGGATGGACAGGTCAAGGGGGCGGGATGAGGTTGGTCGGTAGGAGATGGAGGTGCGGCTTGAGGTGGGAGGAGGGGATAGGTGGGAGGAAGAACAGGTTAGGGAGGCAGGGACGAGCTGGACTGGTTTTGGGATGCGATAGGGGGAGGGGAGATTTTGAAGCTTGTGAAGTCCACATTGATACCATTGGGCTGCAGGGTTCCCAAGCAGAATATGAGTTGATGTTCCTGCAACCTTCGGGTGGCATCGTTGTGGCACTGCAGGAGGACCAGGATGGACATGTCGTCTGAGGAATGGGAGGGGGAGTTGAAATGGTTCGCGACTGGGAGGTGCAGTTGTTTGTTGCGAACCGAGCGTAGGTGTTCTGCAAAGCGGTCCCCGAGCCTCCGCTTGGTTTCCCCGATGTAGAGGAGGCCACACCGGGTACAGCGGATGCAGTATAATTCAGTTCAATTAACAGGAGCACAGTAGTGTGGTTAAGCTCTCCTGCTGAATGATGAAGAAAGAAAAGAGGCAGGGACTGAAATGAATGATCACCTTCAGGCGGTCTGTTTCCATGCCAGGCACACTGCTTTGGGTTCAAGTTCAGGTTCACTTGAAATTCCCAGCATTTTTGTGTGTCCATGGATGTCCTCTTTTGAATCTGCCCAGATGACCACCGCATCGCCCCCCGCCAAACCGCGATATTATCTCCTGCCTTCTGCATGATACCACATATCATTTTTATTGATGTCCCACACACTCAAACCTTCCACAACGTTTAGTGTCAAACAAAAACAGGTTTACACTGCTACTGTTAATTCAGATTAGTCTGCCTTTTGGAATTGAAAATGCAGCATTTAAAGAACCACTGATCGGACTTATTTCAATGAGTCTAGAGAAAACAATGCCTCTTCAGCCATTTAAAATTAATCTGTTTTCAATCTGAATCAAGCTACTGTAGATGAACTGAAGATGGAATGGAGAGACTTGGGAAGAGGGGATGGGGGAGGTCTGGACTTGGGACGAAGGAATGGGGAGAATGGGACTTGGGAAGAGGAGATGGGGAGATCAGGGCTTGAGAAGAGGGGACGGGGAGTTCGGGGCTTGGGAGGAGGGGATGGGGAGATTGAGACTTAGGAAGAAGGGATGGGGGAGATTAGGACTTGGGAAGAGGGGATGGGGCAGACCGGGACTTGGGAAAAACTGGATGGGAGAGATAGGGAACTGGAAAGAGGGGATGGGGGAGATCGAGACTTGGGAAGAAGGAATAGGGAGATTGGGACTTGGGAAGAGGGAATGGGGGAGATTAGGGCTTGGGAAGAGGGGATGGGATAGTTCATGACTTCGGAAAAGGGGGAATATGAGAAGGTGCGTGCAGCTCAGGTTTAATTTGCATATGTTTTATTGGAGTGACATTTAAATACCAATTTCAAGCACGCAATTTCGACCTTGCTGCACAAACAGCAAGTTACTGGCTTGAAAGAAAGTGCTATTTCCAAATGTACAGAGGTATTTGGCAGCACTTTAATTCATAATTTATTTAAAATGCAATTAAATTTCATCTCACAGCCTGTCATTGATGAACTGAAATGAGGATGAGCAAGATCGCGACTTGGGAAGAGGGAATAGGGGAGATTGAGACTTGGTAAGAGGGGATGGGAAGACCGGGACTCGGATAAGGGTATAGGGAAGCTCTGGACTTGAAAAAAGAGCAATATGAGAAGGGGCATGCAGCTCATGTTTAATTTGCAAACGTTTCATTGGAATGACATTTAAATACCGACAAAGCATGCAATTTAGACCTTGCCGAGTTACTGGCTTGAAACAAATTAAGTGCTATTTCCAAGTGATCTATGGTGTTTGGCAGCACATTTATTCACATTTTATTCAAAATGCAATTAACTTCTTTCTCACAGCCTGCCATTGAATAGAGTCTGTCAACAGTGATGAGGTATTCCAGATGCTGTTTCATTCGTTACACAGAGAAAATACCTTACTTGCTCGGTTGAAGTGCGATTCTATGTGCAAATCCATGTGGCAGGGCTAATTTATCACCAAATTTCAAAACCCTATTGGTCTGCATCAGTTTTGTGAAATTTTCACCTCAATAAATCTTCACAGCTGTTGTATAGTTCTCACTGAAAATCCCACTGCAACAGTATTGCAAGCTGGAAGTAATATTGTTTACAAAGTGTGAGTACTTTAAAAACCAGATGAAGAAAAACAAAATCAGTAGGCTTCTGGAATCCAGAAGATAAGATGCTCAGCAAACAGTGTAAATATGAGATTAAAAAAATCTTGGTCAAAGAGCTAAGTTTTAAGAATGGTTTTAACATAACAGGAAGGTGGATAAGCAAAAGTACTGATGGGGAGATTTCCCGAGTGTGCAAGGTACCCACTAAGAGTGAAGGGGCAACAGGAGGGTTTGCTTTGGAAGGTCAGTAAAGAGTCTGTATGTTGGTGCTGGATGCAGTGATTATAGCTGGAGGAAGTTACAGAGACTTTAAGAATCTTGAATAAAAAAAATTCTGCTTTCCTATTCTTATGGCAAAAGTACACAACTATGTAATTAGAGCAAAATATGGGCATCACTGTGCTACTTTGATATGCTGAAGTTTGCTGATTTTCATCTACAGAAAGATTTAAATAACTGAGCAACAAAACACAACCATCAGCTGGCTTCTGTTCCCCTGACTATACTCTACCCTATCGCTACCATATTTGCTCACATTCCCAACTTGAATGGCATCCTCTCTCCTGGTCCATGGTCAGTCTGCTCACCCTCCTTGCAGTTTCTCTCCTTATCTACAAGGTAGGAAGCACCTCACATCTGCTGGAGACAGTCTGGAGTTCAGGCCCCTCTATCACAATGGGGTCCCTGGATCTCCCTGACTTATAGCCACATATCCCCCTCTCCCTGATCAATGATTAACTTCAGAGTTCTGCCCACATTAAGGGCTGGGACTGACTCCTGGAACAAAGTACCCAGGTATCTCCCCTCACTGATACCCCAGCTCAGCAACTCCAAGTTGGAATCATACAAGGCCTGTTCACTTGGCTTTTGAAGGGTATCAGTGCAGGCAAAAAAGTGCTCCATTTCTCAAGGAGGGTGGGGACAGAATATCCAATGGCATAAACATGTATAAACCTGACTAATTGCAACATTTAATCATTCTATAGAAGCAGTCCGATTCCAGTCCGCCATGACTGCTGAGAATGATGGTCCCTGAAACATAAGTGAAAAACTAACACAACCGACAAAGCACCTGCCTCTGTTAATATTATGGGATTGCGGTAAGCAATCGTGGACAAATCTATGAAGATATGAGCCCATGTAATAAACATGGATATTGAGCGGTGGTTATGTTACTTGATTATGTTTGATTACCTGATCCCTACTTGCAAACAAAAGCAAAAGAAACTTACAGTATAGAAACAAGAACAAATTTAAAACGTGGTGCATGTAGCTAAATATATTAGGCATGTAACATATGTGCACATTATATATCTTTATATTCCAGGTATATATGGACATAATGTTCCAAGATATATCTGGTAGATATAGATATGTGTGTGTACATATTAAGTACGGTAAAAGGGGTAAAGCTGTCAAGTCCCATAGGACACTCTCTCATTAGAGAGAGATGACTGATGGTGGTTTAACCTGAGGGTCACCATGCCTCAGATGAGGAACAAGGTTGAGAAGGCAAAACCATTATGGGAGCCTCAGTCGGTGCAGGAATTGAACCCACACTGTTAATATCACACTACATCACAAGCCAGCCACCCAGCCAACTGACCCCCTGTAAAATATATATAGGAAATGGCATCCACAGCCTTGGGAGCATCCTAAATGTCACAGCCTATTAAGCACTTCTGTGGTTGTATGGGTAAGCATAACAGACAACTTACACACTGTAGTGAGCAATATGACCAGATAGTCTGTTATACTAACATTCATAACTGCTGACCCCAGACATTGTGAGATCTCTCTTGGTCTTCTTTGCTTTTGTTGCATCAGAGAAATTAACAAATGATTAAGTGACTAGACTAAATTAGGAACAGTTCTAAGACTGCAGCTCAAAGCTAGCCGAAGGCTACGAGCTATGGGTAATGACTCGCTACATTTTGGAAGGAATCATTTAATGGCAATACTTTATTGCTTGTTTTGCAGCAAATGTAATTACCTTCTGCTGCAATACTGTCGCATTAGAATGAATGAAGGCCCTTTATGCCAAGAGTAGAGAAAATTAAGACAAACGATGATATAAATAACTAATGCATCATCGAACAAATACACAAGGAAACAACTTCGCCTGCAATTGTAATGCTCAGATTAGATGCTTACAAAGGTTACAAAACTTGTCCACACCCTAATCAGTTTATTTTTCTGTACCTCATCCAAAACACCTTCAAGCACTTGACAATAACAACCTTTATTTCGAAAGGCAACAGAAAGATTTATCCAACAGGGTCATTTTAACTTATCATGAATCATTTTTCTTAACGTTTATACTAGAAGTTAATTAGCTCAGTTGGCATACCATTCTATGCTTTTCTGCGCCTTCATTGAGACCAGTGTGTAAACACTACAAAAAATTTAAATTAAAACATATCACAGATACAATTAACGTAAGCATTACTTTGCACATTTAATAATAAATAATAACTGAAAGAATGGCAGATGCTGTAAATTAGAAACAAAGACAGAAGTTGCTGGAAAAGTTCAGCAGGTCTGGCAGCATCTGTGAAGAGGAATCAAAGTTAACGCCTTGGGTCTGGTGACTCTTCCTCAGTACCAGACATTAACTTTGATTTCTCTTCACAGATGCTGCCAGACCTGCTGAGCTTTTCCACCAACTTCTGTTTTTGTGCACATTTAATACTTATTCACATAAAATTAATTTATTAATGAAATTGCTGCAAAGTGAGAACACCTCTTGATTTTTTAGAAAATTAAATAATTAACCAGCTCATGTAAAATGAAATACCACAGTAAGTTCAGCAAGTTGCTCTTCTGGTTTATACTTTACACTAGTTCTGACTGATTTATGAAGCAAAACAAAGTGCTGAAGAAACTCAGCAGGTCTGGTAACAGAGATAGTAGGAACTGCAGATGCTGGAGAATCTGAGATAACAAGGTGTAGAGCTGGATGAACACAGCAGGCCATGCAGCATCAGAGGAGCAGGAAGGCTGACGTTTCGGGCCTAGACCCTTCT